ACCTTGTTAACAGAGCAGTCTTTTTTTTAATGGAACCCATGCTTAACTGATGGCCCTGCAATGTAACTTCAACTATTTAAACTCTCTCCGCAATTTGTGATGTCACCTAACCCTCCAATCATAACGTACTGTATCTGCCTTTGTACTGCATGCTTGTGCTGCCTATAAAACACCCAAAACCCAGCCAGGCAGGGCCGACACTTTGGGAGAGATCCCAGTCAAGCCCAATGGTGTGATAAAGTGCCTCCCACACCTCTTGGGTGATATTTCTTCCTGTGCTTAGTCCATTTTCCGTAACTGTACAGCTTTCAGTCTCAGTGTGACCTGTGCTGAGCTGAACGAACACCCCAGTTCAAAGAACAGAACTGTTACTCTGCAGTCTCACACATGTGGGACAACTCTGCCTGGAGCCCTCGACAGTGAAAGCAGCGACTGCATGCTGTTCTGTGGTAGGCCACCTGAAATCCAGCTGCTGACTGGCAGACTATTTCTGACAGTGACTAAACTTGTGATTATGCACTGCCAAACGCTGCAGATTGGCCGAAGGCACATCTCAGGGGCTGTGATCCTCTGCCTACTTGAGACAGACTGACCTGGTTCCCTCTGGAGTTGACCCTTATATTTGCTCCTTCAATTTGTTGCTGTTGCAATAATGGACTGACAACCCAACTTGGCTTTTCTTAGGATCCATGAACCTCAGTGAAATCTGGTTACGACTTGCTTTCCCTAGAAAGGGACTGGTCTCTTCTAGGCTGCTCACTGGATAAACGATCAAGGTGAAATGGGTTGCAGGATATGCAAATGCTATTTTGAAAGCTTCTGAAAATCGAGGGTTTTGTTTTGATCGATTTCTCAATATGATGTCTTTCTGGTGGAGTTATATACAAATGCTTTTCTTGAAGATGTTCTGCCCCTTTTGTCAATGATACCCCTCCCCATCAGATAAGGGGATGATCAAAAAATGTGAAGTTGTAAGTTTGGAATGGAAACACTGATTTTTGTGACACATGAAAAGAAACTGAAGCTTCTGCATGTGGGGAAGAGGAAGCAGAGAGGGCCTCAGTGATCTTTGTTTTTCAAAACTGTTTTTGGAAGCTTCCTAAAAGAAACCTCTGAGTAAGCCTTTGCAAGCTGCTGAGAATGGCTGAATTCACATTGCTGACTGTGTGATCACCTGACAGGGCTAACTATGCCCGGGCACGAAGTGGCCCAGCCCCTCCACTTTCCACGCAGAAACCTGGGGAGGTTAAAACTCATGAGGTACATGTACAGGGCACGGACAGCAAACAGTCCCTCTGAAGCCAAGAACTAGACTAAATTATTTGGACTAGAAAGGAAAGAAAACGCTGCTCATGGCAGGAGGCCACACGTCCCAGCTAATGCAAGTCCTCTTCCTTTTCAGAACTACTGTGTGCTTTCTGGAATGGTACTCTCATGACACTGTCTCAGTCTTGGAAGGTTTGCGAGTCAGTCTCAACTTCGTGACCACAGGGATGTTACACCTGAATTCACACTTTGGGCAGAATACTTAAGGAGAAAGCCACGTGGCTTTCTAAGATAGATCTATTATGATTAAGAGGATTTGCTTTAACTGCACTAAGTACAGGACTGCTATAGGGTCCAACTGAAACCAATATGGCGGTTTGGCCTCATTACTCTTGGGTCTTGTTGATAATGCCTTGGTCAATGATAAAGGGGAGACTGTGTGGTGAAGAGTTAACACAGCAAGCCTAAATTTCTGTCCCGGAAAAGGCCAGCCTGCAAGACTGCCCTTTGCTGGCATCTGTGAAATTACATTTCTGCTGATTTCCCACAGTCCTGATAACAGTGGTTCACGAAACAACTGGTTTATGCTGAACACCTGCTTTCCTTCTCAGAGACAGCAATTTGGGTAGTGTCAGGCAGAGGGTGCCAACTTAACCGGCCACCACTAAAATTCCCAAGTATGGATCTCTGGTAAGCTTTTCTGGAGAAGACTGTGACGTGTATTGCTGTAAACTGTTGCTTTGGAAAATAAACATGTCCTTTCTGAGTCCCCATGAGAGGACCCTTGGAATCTTATATCTGGTTCCAGACTTCATCCCTGACACCCTTTCCTTTAGTGATTTTGCTTCGTATTCTTTTACTGTAATAAATCATAGTTATGAATGCAACCACATACTGAGTCCTCTGAGTCTTCCCAGCAAATGACTGAAACTGAGACTGTGGTCCTGGTTGGGGATCTCTAACACAGTTTGGAATAAGTACAAAATATTCAACAAAAAGAAAGAAGGAAAGTATGGATGAAGTCATGAAAATAGAGTGGCAGAAGGTGAGGGTGGAGAGAGACAGGGCCTGATCACATAAGGCCTTGTCAGGAAAGGTAAAACGTTTGGATTCTCATGAAGCCACAGAAGGCTTCTAAGCAGAAGGGAGGAAGAGTTAGGCCTTGTTGCAGCTGAAAAGAATGAAAAAGACTAAAAATGGAGAGGCCAAACGGGAAGTTCTCAGGTTTAGGAAATTCTTCAGTTACCTTTGAGTTCTTTAGAAAAGAGCTTCAGGCAATAAATACAGGCGAAATGGTAGAGTTGCAAAGTCACCACTTTGCAAACATAAAGGATCTAGAAGATAAACATCAACAGTTCCCCAAACTGCTAGGCACTAGGTCAATGACCAACTCTGGAATGATTGAATTGCGCTGACATCACCTGATTTCACTGAAAAAAATGTTAATGTCACTAAAAGTGGGACAATCAGATACTATATGCCTCCTAGTGTATATGCAACAAGAAGGATACAACAACATCTAGGAAGTAATTCTCAATTAAAAGATAGGACCAAATTTCCCCCACGCTTTTAGAGCTAACTTCCCATTTATAGAGGATACAGCAAATAGTGGAGTAAACGAAAAAGACCACAATTAGCTAGACTTAAAACGTGGGAAGATGTACAGTCAAAAGATCACTATTTTCTTCACAAATAAAATGACACTTAAAAGGGCAGGAAAACTACTGTAGATTAAGAGAAACTGAAGATCATAGCTTGGATACTGAATTAAATAAATCATTATTAAAAAAATACCTGGGACAGGTGGGAAAACTGGACAGCTTGGGTATTAAGTGATAAGAGAATAAAAGCTAATTTTTTATGATTCTGTTGAAAAATTCTGGTCAAAGAACATGCAGAATGTGCTTTAAAATGAGAGGAAAAAAGGATAAAATTCTGTGGAGCAGTAAACATGAAACAAAAACAGCAGAATGCTGACAGCTGCTAAAGTTGGGTGGTTGAGATATCTTCTACTACTATGAGTGTTTAAAAATCCTCATTAAAAAATAAAAATGAATGGATTAAACTAAAAGACTTAGAAATATTTTTAAATAGTTAATGCACAGTGGGCCAAGGTATACGACAGTCTCAAAGAAAGTAAACAGAATTATTTTTCTGGAGAATGATGCAATAATATGTACCAAATGTTTTTCAAAAATTTACATTCATTCCAGAAAACTTAGGAAGTCTACGAAAATTTTCAAAGATGTACATGAAGCTACATTTAATACTTGCCAGGAAAACACTATAAACAGTCCATGACTAAGTTATGGCAAATTGACACAACTTTTTTACAGCCATTAACCACTAAACTGTAAAAGGAAAATAACATAGTAAATTGTTAAGTGCAAAACGTAGGAGGTAAAATAGTATATATGTCTGTTTTGGCCCAATTCAGGTTTCTTTTTTTTTCTTCCCTTTTTTCTTTTCATATAGTATTAAGGATTGATCTAGGGCCTTTGTACTTAACTACATTCCCAGACAGATGTACATATACATATAAATATACACACACACACATCTATGCATACATACAGTTTTGTTTTTTGAGAAGTCCCGCTATATAGTTCAGGCTGGCTCTGAACTCCCTCTGTGGACTCAGGCTGCCTCAAATATAAGCCAATCTTCCTGCCTCAGCCTCCTGAGTGCTGGGATTACAAGTGCGTGCCATTCCCACCTGGCTGTCAGGTGTATATTTTTAATTTGAGACAGGGTTTCGCTAAGTCACTAAACTGGTTTGGCAGAGCTTGAATGTACAATCCTCTTGCATCAGTCTCCTGGAGTCCTGGGATTATGGGTGTACACCTAGTGCCTAACCAAAACTAGTTTTCTTCAAATTAGTCATATATCTAGCAAAAAGCTTGTAAGAGTATTCTTCATGATGCTATAGTTATTATTTTTAGTTGATGAGATTAAATTACTTTTAATTTTTTTAAAGATGGTTTTTCTATGCACAAGTATGGTACACTTGCTGTAAAAACTTTGAAGATGTAAACATTAGAGTCTGGATCAATTTCTGTGTTGTCAGTAATGAAACTGAAAGCAGCCACAGTGATACCTCTGAAGTAATAAACTGAAGGGCAGCAGGGCAGCAGGAAAAGGAAGAACAGATACACTAACACGTCTCTAAAAGGGTAGCCCTTTGGTACACTATTGTGACAAAGACCAACTTCCAAATTTAAGAGAATGTCAAGAAGGTGAAAGTTACAAAAGGATTGAAGTTTGTATGTTTGCATGTTTCAAATGGAAACGAATAAAACAAGTAAACCAAATTACAGTGATGATTAAACAAGTTATTGTGGTAAAAATCCTAATGTAATTCTGAAAACATCCAAAGGCACGTTAGGAAATTCCTTCTGTGCTTCTATTTTGGGGGCCACACTGACAAATTTTTTAAAACAATTTCTTGGAAAAAAACTGATATACTGGTATCCAAAAAGAAATGTGAGACCTATGTACAATCTTATCTAATTTGTATCTATCCATCTCATTCATATAATGTGGGTCAAATTTGAGGTAAATATTAAAATATAGGAAAACCCATACAACTACATTTTATACAAATACATGTAGTTAATAATCAGTAAGGTCGGTCTTCTTCAACACATTCAGGAGTCTTCTTTTATACTCACTAATTCTCAAATTTTAGTATTCTCCTCCTACATCAGGGAAAAGAAAAGAAAACGTCCACATACCTGGTTTCCGTACTTTCTTTGGTTCTTCATAATCCTTTTCTGAATCTGGAGATTCTAGAAAGCTGATTTCTTCAGTGGCACCTTCCCCTTCCTGGCTCTTGAAGCTGTCTTTCTCTTCGTGAATGGGTGATTCCAGTTCTGATTCTTCTGAATCAACAAATATCTGACCAGCAACTACTTTGCCCGTGATGGTGTGGTCCTTTACTGATTCATCTGGTGGCAAAGAACTCTGAGAATATAATGTATTTTTAGTTATCAACAACACCAAGATTCCTTCCAATCCAATTTGACCATTCCTTTTACTAAGCCAAATGTCTCCTTCCGCTCCTTGAAAAGCTGTACTTCCTCATCTCTATAGGATTTAGCTCATGTAACCCACATCTTTATCACCTGTTGAACTCTCTTTGAATTTCAACTCAGATGTTACTTTCACCAGAAGTCTTTCTTAATCCTCAGTGTCTGGGTTAGTTTCTCCCTCTACGTGATGCAAGCCATATGATAACTCTGTTATTATGTCTTGTCTTTATCTATATTCCTGCTAATCTAGAGATTATAGCTTGTAACTAAGCAATCTCCTGGCACAATCAGCCTTATTCATTCAACCAGTAGGTGCATTATACTTATCCTTAGAATTCTTTTTGAAAATTTATGTAACAGAAACAAATGGCAGTCTTCAAAAGTTGGAGACTGAACTCAGGCCCTCACTGAATGAGCCAACATTCCCAATGGGAATACTTGCCATTTTCTCTTATAGGTCAGTGATTTGTTTTTATTTTACCCCAGAAGAATCAGAACTAATACTGATAACCATTTTTTTAAAAAATTAATTGTTACTCAAAAGATGCAGATTTCATACCCTAAGGTTATGAAATAATATTCCTAATATTCTAATAATCTAATATTCTTTGCTTTTAAATTGGGTAGCAAATACCATCCACTGCAAATTTTAATACATACCTTGGAATCTGAAGATTCTTCCTGGTTGTCTTCTTCATCTGCAAAGAAATTTTAAGATTGTTTAGTCATCTTTTTATTGGGAAATTACAAATGTTATTAAAAGAAGGTATCTGATATGCACAACAACAAATAAGATACTAAGCCTAGGATAACTTAAAAATTGGTTGTATTCAGCAACTATTTACACAAAAGATTATGTGGAAAAAAATGAGTTCAGGTGGTAAAATTTCTCCAGATAGGAAGACCAATTACCCCTACTCCCTACTAAAGACATTTGGATTTCAGCCAACTTTTCTGTATACACTTAGTCTATTACTGACAATGAGTTACTAAGTTCATAAAAATAAACTTTTAATTTCATATTTCTGCTTCTATCTATTCTGTTCTTTTGGTCAGGATCTAGAGTGACATTAGTTAATCTTATAGCTAATTAGCATTTTACTATGTAATACTACTATTAATTAATATAATATAGTAACTATTACTATTTGTCAGCTGACTTACCAGGCAACTATACTTAGGATTTGTATCCTACTTTACTAAAGAGATAACCAGATATAGGTAAAGAGTAGCATCATACTATCATGTTTTCACTCATATGAAGGCTATTTATTGAGAGATGAACAGTTCATGTTAAATGATGAATCTAGCTAGCTACTAATTATATCCTTCATCCAAATTCATACAGTTTGCTTTGGTTTTGTTACATTATGCAATTTTTCTTTTATTATCCTTTCCATATTTTCTGGCTATTACTACTATCCTGACTTTTTATTATTTTTTCTGCTCTTTATATAAACATACCCACCAACTCAATATCCAGTCACAAATGTTTGATCTTTGTATTCACTGCCAGCTTAAAAAAAAAAAAAAAAGCCAAACAAACTGAGATTATCTCCATGTTTCCTTCTTGCTCTTAAAATTACCTGAGTTTACACAGGAGCAAGTTTCAATTCTGCCTGCTCTGTCAACTCTATCAACCAGTAGATAAAATGCTGTAAGACTTTTTCATTTTTACTGGAAAAGGTAGCATTGTCTTGCTTTGCACAGGTATGGTTATATACTAAATAATATACTATTATTTAGAACTTGGAGCTATTTACAATAAAAGTATGTTTTGGAATTTGTTATTACAGTATTAAACCAAGAAATACAATCAACTCATGCACAAAATATGCTCAGATTCCACAAAATTGTTTGATATCTGAGAAAAATCTATCAGTGAAGTTTTGCCATATATGAAGGAGGTGTCAATTTAAGGAAAATTTAAGTTAAAGCTACTGCTCATATTCACATACTTTTAGACTACCTTCAAAGCATGTTTTTTTTTTTTTTTTTTTTTGGTATGAGAAGAATAGTTCATGTGTTGGCCCCATAGTAACTGTAATATATAAGTAATGTTGTCAATAGTATTCATCCTGTCCAGTAATGTCTGCACAAATATTACCCAAAACTCAAGTTCTAATAGATGGTTCAAGTTCCTTTTTCAGAAAATTTTGGACAAAGGAAAAATTCATCTCATTATGCAGCAAAGTTGTTCACATATAGCTCACTAATCATAATTTTCACTAGCTAATACAGCAAGAGCAGACTCTTAACTGTGCAGCTGTATGTGACAGATCCCCAAACACTGAACTTTGGAGTAGCTGAGCCTCTAGTCACTAATCACTAAATCTAGTATTTCAACACCTGGTAGCTAACAGGAAAATAACACAGAAAATATATAAATTTAAAGACATCATATTTGCAACACTATAAGCTGTAAAGCACAGGAGAGGCAAATGTATTTCTGAACTCCAGGAAGCGTGATTTGTGACATCAGGATTATTTCATGTGAATTGCATCATGCTTTTTTTCTTTAACAAACTAGGAGTATGTACTAAGGTTACTGGTAAAACAAGCATTCTTTTTCAGTTACTAAACTGGGAAAACCTACTCCAGATGGCAGTCTTAAAGCACAAGCTTTTTTCTCTTTCAGACCGACATGCACATTCACATAATACTTTTTAAAGGGTTGCTTATGACCAAAGCAGTTTAGACATGTAGTATTTTGGTAAAGATTAGAGACACTGAAGTTATACATAAAGAAAAAGTAAACAGTAGTGCTTTCATCAGAACACAGACATTGAGCAACAAGAATGCAAAGGGATTCACTACAGACTTCTCACTCATCGGTATCACACCTAATATATAATTATCCATACTACTTTATTAACTGTACAGTTTCCTTGAAAAACATCAATTTCTATTTGTATTACAGCAGGTGACAAAACCACAACACACTAGGGACCTTTTTTCAAGGACAAAGAGTTATGACAAGTGCATTTTTACCACCTGTCATTTAAATTACACAGACTGATTCACTTTCAAACACACTATGTCAATAGTTTGATGAAAAGGGACGAGATATCCTGCCTTGTGTACTGCCATTCTGTTTAGGATCTATGCAGGCCCTATGGCAGTACTGAAGTTAAGTTACTCAAATCTGAGGCCTGGGGAGCGGAGTTTGAGACCTGGCTTCCCCACAGATTAATTCAAACACTTGTAGTTCAATATTGAAAACTTGCTCAGCCTTCATTTTCTCAGTCTGTCAAAAAGGAATAACGCCATCTGTGCTGCTGGTTCCCAATGATATAAGGAACAACTTAAACGGTGAAGTTACAATCCTCTGCAGGCTAAAAACTACTCTCTGAATTTACATTATTAGTGTAACTATTACCTGAAATGCCTGGTAATGGGTCTTATTAAATAGCAGAATACTGTTTAGCACAAAGGAAAACAAATAAACTCTTTACTTCTTTCTGCCCAAAGCAATAAAGCTCTTACTGGTCTCATTTAGGTGTAGAGAATGGACCCAGGGTTCCTGCAGGTGTAGTGCATGCTCTGCCACTGAGTTATATCCTCAACCCTAAGAAAGCATATATTTTAAAGTGAGAAAAATTACTGCCTTTTCATTATTAAAAAAAGAGAAATATCTTTTTAATCTCCTTGAAACTTACAGAGGATAAAAACATTTCTAATGTAACTGTCCCACTTACAGACCTTGCTGATATACAGGGTATTGGATAACAGCTACTCACAGCAACAGGATCAGTACCTTCTTTGTTGGTTAAACATATTCTACCCAGTTACAAATGCAACTTGCCCTGGGTAACCATTAACATTGACACAAAAAATTACCACAAAAATTTGATTTTTACATAGAAGCAAAGCTTTAAATTTTTCAAATGAGACTGGGATCCTGTGTAAATAAGAACTGTACTGAATGAAAAACTCAACTGAAAAACATAAGCATTTAATTTATAGAACTTTATATCACTTGTGAACTTCAGGTAACTTTAGTATAGTTGTCAGAGGACTGGTTTTAGGATTCTCTACCCTCCATCCCCAGGCTGCCAAACCTGGTGGATGCCAGTTTCTGCTATACAATTGAGTAGTTTACATATAACCTAATTACTTGTAATACCTAATACAATATAATGCTATGAAAGTAGCTGTTATTTGTACTGCTTAGGAAATAACAAGAAAAAAACATAATCAGCACAAACTATTTTTTCCTCTGAGTATTTTCTATCGTCAGATGGTTGAATCCACTTGTATGACTTACAAAATAGAAAGACCAACTGACCTTCATTATCTTTCAGCATGCAAATCTATCTTCTTTTAGCTCTGGCTAAGTTTTTGCACTTACTAGGGAAATGCTTCGGGATACCTTTCACCATGATACAAATCAGAGCAAATATTTCCTGAACGTGGTCTTCTTCTTATAACAACACACCAACAAGATTTAACTTAGGCATGAACAGCTTTGTATTATAACATCCTGACAAACCTAACTGTAGATCTTCAAGAATCATCTGTTTACATGGAGTTTTAAGTTTATGAAATCATCAAAGGAAGACGTACGAAAATTTGTAGACTTAAACTCTACAACTGAATTCCAATGAAATATGTTGGCAGTTCAATATGTTCTTAGTTATTGTAGCTTTCAAACTTTAATGTGAAGAACGACTTACAGACCTTGTTCATATACAGATACCTGACCTACTCTGGACCTAAAACTGAGTTTTTAACAAACTCTTTAAGAAGAATTCTGTGGCAGGTGGGACATTCTCTCCCCCTCCCCCATTCACCAGCGAATTAACCCACTACAGTCAGCAGCTTCATTTCACACTTCTTCTGATCAATTGTCAAAAGTGCTTCAAGAGTTATATACTAAACAGTCTCTAAAGATTTGGTTATAAACACAAAATTATCACTACAAAGGGAGTGAAATGGACCTCACTGCGTGATGTTGGCAGTAATTAGCACATGCTTCTTGCTTTCCAAATGCTATCTCCAACCACATTGCAAACAGAAATTTGGTTTAGGCCTCTTAATTTAGAAGCAGGATGACGTTATGGCATTGATTTACAACTAGGACAGATAATTTGGGAATTGAAATAACCATCTGGGAAATTTTCTGTTGAAAGAAAGTGACATTTATACTCTGCCTTGTTCCCCAAAATTTAAAGCTACAGAACAGCTGTCTTGTTAACTGAAGCTGATTAAAATTTCAAAGCTTTACTGTACTGTTTATTCACTGCTAGCATTTCAAAGCTTTACTGTACTGTTTATTCACTGCTAGCAATACTAAGTATTTTTAAAATTAACACTTCGAACAGAAGTTTTCTGATGTAAGCAAACCAAAACATAAAAAAATTTTAGAAACAGTAAAAAGTAGCTAGTCAAAAAATGAATTCAAAAGCATATAATTTTTTGTATCTACATAAAAAGGCGAACGCTTGTTATTTACTTTGTAAGAACCAAGTAGTCTTTCTCGTAAGTCTTAAAGCCACTGTCAACACACACGGGCAAGTCAGAAACTGTGTGAAAGAGATCACTTCTCTTTCAAGAAGTTTTTAAAACGGGAGACGTCTTTGTTTCTAAACAGACAATTAAGTCAAGGAGCAGCTCAGGTGTTAAGCAAACCCACGGAGCCACTTATCTTAGCCTCGATGGGACCTGCTCTGCCTACAGTGACAGCTTCAGATGTGCTGATTACAAACCCCAAACCCAGAGCTTCACAACTGAAGCAGCACACAATTTGTACGAGGGTCGAGGAAGCACGAGTCGGAGTCAAGGGTCGTGGCAGGTCTAAGTCAGCTGGTGGGGTGAAGCCCACGTAGTCCATAGCTCGTCCCCAAGAAGTCGCGTAAAGTTTGGAACGTGGGAGAGAGGTGTGGACGGGGGTGGGCTGTCCCTTCTCCCCCTCCCCCTCCAGCTCACCAAACAGCCCCACTGATCCAGGACAGCAGAAGCCCAAGAAAAGGGCAAGTGACAGGCCAGAGCGCGGCGTGAAGGGCGAGCACAGCCCCAGCCCGGGTCGCCCCGTAGGCAGATGGAGGCCGGGGGGCGACGGCTCGGGGCCTTCGGCCCGTGGGGGCTGATACTGACCGGAGGACGCCGAGCCCGAGCTCAGTAGCACCGCACACAGCAATAGCGTCAGCCCGACCCGGACCTGCATCCTGTTCTCGCGGCCAGCTGCCACCCGCTGGAACTGTCTGTCGCAGCCGCCGCCGCCGCCTTACAGCCGCTCTTCCTGCTCCACTTTCCTCTCTCCGCCCCTTCCCAGGCCTCCCTGATTCAGAGAGCAGCCAATCCTCGCCCGCCGTCGTGGGCTCCTCGCCCAATCGTCGTGGTTGTCCCGCCCACTCCCTTGTCCCACCCCGATGTTGACAATGGGCCAATCATTGTGCGAGGTTCCCACACCCGCTTTTCCGGTTGGACCACGACCTCACCGACATGGCCCCTGATAATTGGTAGCGCCTGAATCAGAACCGCGATTCAAGGGCTGGGCGAAAGGAGTCTCACTAAGAACTACAATTCCCGCAATGCACTTCATATAATTCACTGTGCATTTGCTTTTGGGAATCGTAGTGCATGGTGAAGCAAGCTTTATAGTTGTAGGAGAGTGTAGATGAAGAGAATATAATCAACACCTGGACTACAAGTGAAAGCTGTGAACTCACAGGACATTTTTGTTTTGCTCTTGAGCCAAAATAAGTATCAAAGAGCAAATATTGTAAGCTTAAGAACTAGTAATATGTTCAGTATTTTTTCCTACTTGTTTTATTCAGCAAATTTGAATTGAATATAATGATGTAAGCACTAAGAAACTGCAAGGTTGCCTGAAATTTTCCAGTATTTTAACTTAGACTTAAAATATTTAGATATTTTAAAATAACTTCTCTGAAACAGTAATGTGCAACCAACTACTTGTGCAACCAACTACTTGTCCTTTGGCACTACTTGTCCTTTGTTCCCCATCAAAAACAAAAGGATTAAAAAAAATTGCATCCAGTCTCAATGATCTCACTGTTGGTGTTCATTTTTAATTAAAGTCATCAGATAGTAATTATCTGGAAAATGTGGCAACGGGTTTTAGAAAACCCTTTCAAACACTTGTCCTCATACTTCTTGCCTTGTCAATTGCACTATTGTCTTCTTCCTTGACCAGAGTTGGAAGGCTAGTGTGTGTTTGTAGAGGTACAGGTGACAGCCATGGCACTGGAGAAACAGAGATGCTTTCTGTGATAAGCACCAGTTCTGGCATATACCCGCAGGGCGACGAGGTAATGACTTCTTTCATCAAATTGTGTCATTCTGTTTTCCCTAGTGTACACCCACAATCAGCTGTTACATCTGGATCCCAGCCAAGCTTCCTTCAGGAAAGGCCCACCTTGTCTCTGTGGACTTGATGTTTTGACACCTTTGGCATTTGTCTTTCATTTTCTTTGAGAGACAGACTTTTTTTTTTAAAAAATAGGGCAAACACCTGACTGCTGTTTTTCATTTACATCACAGAAGATGAAAGAAAGATAATATCTTTGGTATGCGTGTCGAACCTAACAACCTTGTGCTTGCCAGACAGGCACTTATGCTGCTGAGCTAAATCCCCAGCAGAGATAATATCTTTAAAAAAGTTCTCTTTGGCACTATACCCACCTTAGCTGTTATCTCCATTTGTGCCATTAACAGTGTTTCCTCAAAGTTTCTCTAAATTTAAATCAGTAAGTAAAATCTTGTTTATTTCCCTTTCTTTTTAAGCTAATTAATCATCAGTTCCTATGAATTCAAACCATATAATTATTTCTTAAATTTTTCTTGTATTATTTACCATTTTACCCTCTTGCTTTGTAACCTTCATTTTTCCCTTCCTTGAATGATGCACCTGAATTCTACTAGTTCTATTCACTGATGCCATTCTTTCACTCTGACCTAAATTGCACACCATGGTCATATTAATTGGCCTTGAACACTCCTTTATAATGCTTACCCAAGAGTTTTCAGGGACCTTATATTCACAGGATAAATAATATTAGAACTTCCTCTACTTACGAAACAGAAATGCATGTTAGCAGTTCCCTTTCAGGCAAGAAGCAGTAATTATGGGATTAGTAAGATTGGAAGTACTCCACTTAGTTAAGGCTTAACTTCTTTCAACTTTGTCTTCTATAAGGGCCTGTGCTGGGTGATACCCAGACTGTATTCCACTTCTTTTTAGCTGCTTACAGATTTCCACAGTAGCACAATCTTGCTGCCCATGGTCTCCCCTGCCCTCTCCCAACCACTCTTACTCCTTTGCCACAGCCCTGGCATTCTTCCCAAGTTCACTTGAATTTCTTTTTGGCTAAGACTTCTCCAACTCCTCCTGTCCTCATTAATTTTTATTTCTTTGTATCTACGCGACATTTACAATCTTGCCTTTTAGACAGTTTGTACATTTAGCAAGGCGGGAAGCAGTGATATGATTCTATGATAGAGCACTGACATTGCTATCCATTAAGCCCTAGCTAATTATTGTTCACTGACAGATCTACCTTATTGCCTATTGTAATTTTCAAAAGAGACATTCGGGGAAAAAGCACTTTCTGCATTGCGGAGTGTTTACAGATATTTTTTATTGATTGCTTTTAAAGGATAGAAATCAGTTTTATTTCTTTAGTTAGAAACAGCTTACAACTGTTAGAGATTTTGTAATTAGCAGTAAGTGACTGATGTCCTCTGAGAATCCTCACCGGACCCTTGTTTCCTGGCTGACACTTCAAATCTCCAAAGCAGGTTCAAAATATGGTATAAGAACATCAGGTTTATTTGATTAGCCCGCTACGCCAAGTGATGTTTAACTAGAAAGAAAGATTGTGAATTCTCCATGGCCTTAGCTAGTCTGAGCATATACTCTTGAAAGTTCCTTGCCAACCCACCCAGTTAAGATTATGTACCCTGCAGGTACAAAATGTTACTGTTATTATTTATTAATCCGTAGCCTTTAATATTTGCTCAGCTGCATTGGCTCTATTACCTGTGTCCACAGCAGTGTTTTAGGTCATTCTCAAAGATTTGCAAATAGTGGAAAACCTGTTAGCTCTCCATTCCAGCACAGCATAGGCCCTGATGGAGGGAGGTAATGCTGCATTTTATGCAGATAACATTCATGTGACTTGGTTTCGTTGAGGTAAATCAAGCAAGCAACAAATGTTGAAGCCCTCCTGAAAGTTGAGCACATGAAGCCAGCCTGCTTAAGGCTTCCACTTAAGGTTGGTGAAAAAACTCCCAGAGACTTTTCCTGAGAACAGTGATTGTCACTAATTCAGGGTGGGGAGGGACCTATTTCTTTCCATTGCTGTTCTTAGGGATCTGTCTGAGTTGGTAATACATACAGGCTGCCAGCTTCTGTATCAAGGTATGGACCAGGGCAGGTTGAAGGTGAGAGAGGCAGGGTATTTCCCCCCTAGGGTTTAGGAAAGAGTGTATTGTTTGATATAGATAATGTGAATTAAAGTCATTTCTTTTTAATGCACAAATAAAATACAAATCCTTGCATTCTATATAGTGAGATATGAGGGTGTCTATTCACTTATAGTCTGAGTTTCTGGAGTAAATGGATAATGGCTTTACATCTCATTGTATCTCTCATAATTCACATCACTCAGGTTAGTGTACAGCAAACATACAATAAGTAATTAAAATAAATAACCTTTGGACAGCCATATTACATGCTATGATTACAATTAATGGTCATAAAGTTCAAAGTGTAGGTCACAGAATTCAGAGGAGAGTTTCCACTCAGCTAAAGTGGAAAGAAAGTGAGAGGAGGGAAGGAGAGGACCTCAGCCTGTTTACGAAGTTTCATCTTGAAAGGAAATTTACTTCTTTTTTCTGAACAGTGTTGAGTCATGGCAGATAAAGGGAGAGCCAGGATACTTTTATATTATGAGTAACTGGATGGGAATTTTGGGGGTACAATCTTTTTATAGATTTGCTAACTCTTAGTTCTGGAGAAAGACTTAGCTTAAAACTAAATTTTCGTAGTAATTTGCTTAGGCAAACTTTATAAGATGGAGGTAAATACCTTGGAGTTCCCATTAAATTTACAATACTTAACACTTGAGTAAGTAATTTAACTAGTGGACATCACATTAGGAACTTAGTATTTGTAGAGTACGCAATCCTTCCTTCCCTCCCTCCTTTCTTCTCTTCCATAAATAGTTTTTAAGGACTGTCAATGCCCTTCAGCAAAGAGCACTAGGAATATACCTGTAGTTGAACACAATGGCCTCATTACTTAATGCTGTGTGGAAGAACACATGCCCTGGGGTATATCAGGGAGAGGGCATCAGAAAGAAACTATAACAGAATTCAGAATTTGGTTGGGTGATTTGCAGAGGGTCTAAGGAAGGTAAGTTTGCCCTAGGTTGGATGCTATTAGAAGTGCTACTATTTGTCTATTATTTGGTAGAAACAAATCAGTAAGTCTAAAGGAAGGGAAATTAGAATGGGGATAATGATATAATTGACAAAGAATTAGTAACCATTCATTCTGATCTGTGAGATGTTCGGCATTTTGTGGTGGCACAGGGACCTTGCTTTTCTTTGTGCTTAGAAAAATTTATTCAGTGGTCCTGCTGTGTCTCATCACATTCTCATGTCAGAGTAACCTGTCTCTGCTTGGTGTCCTGTTAGCTTTAAGTTTTATGTGAGACTAAGGTAGTCGCCTCATGACTAAGAGCAGCTTCTGAATGTTAAGAGATTGCTGTTTGTTTTTCTTCTTTAGCATTTGTGTGTCATATGCCTAGATTTTGATGCTGGGGAGCCAGCAGTAAATAAAATAGACAAAACTGTGGTGCTTAAATGTTAAATAGGAGAGAGCAAGAACAAAGTGAACAATACATTTAATATATTAGAAGATGAGAGTGCTATGGAGGAAAGAGAAATAAAGGAGAGAAGAGGAAAAAGAGTATTGGAGGAAAGTACTTAAAATCTAAAATAAGGAGGCCAGTTAGTCATCCCTGTAAAGCTCAGATTTATGCAAAGGTAACCAAAGAATGAGACATGATGATATAAGATTGTCTTAGTTATTATTCTCTCATTGCTGGAGACAAAATACCCAACACCCAAGGTTAAAGGAGGAAAGGTTTTTTAGCTCACAGTTTATAGAGGTTTGAGTTCATAGCTGGCTTGGGCCCACCTCCATTACTGCATGAGGCTTTAGGTGGACATCTAGATGCAAACCATAACAAGGATGAAGAAATTTCCAGGAATAGAGAGCAGTTTGTATACAGGCAA